ACGACAGCTGGGATAGGCTCAAAATAAGAGGTATAGACAATGGATGGATGGATGTCCTTTTATGGTTTGATCAGTACAGTACAGGGATGAATGCAAATAGCACGCGCTGCAGCGGATGAGTCAGCCGGCTCCAGCACCTGCTCCGCGTCCTGTTTATCACACACGAGCTGCTCCACTTCAAAGCAGCGCAGCCGCGAGCTCCCGACGGGCTCTGCCCTAACCTGCGGGCAGACGCAAACACACACTGGGCCCTGCAACAGGTGGGCTGACCCACATGTGTGTATTCACACTGAAAGATATACAAAGTTGGTAAGCTATCAGCAAACTCACCCAGAGAGCACGGACTTATGTTTAGGGCACTCTCTGTTAACAAAAGTCTGACATTATCCAGACTTATTCTGCCCTCTAGAGGCCAGGATACGCCACGGTCACTGGTTTGAGAAAGAATTCACAAACAACAACGTTAAATCAATGCAGGACATTGAAAATTAAAATAAAAAGATTTGAAGGGTGTCTTAGGGACACATAGCAGACGAGTTATTAGCGGTATGAAAAGACAAGCTGATAAGAAAGGAAAATTTTACTCGAACAGAAAAGTTCCACAATTTTTTTTATGACAGCCAGTATATCCTTACCTGGATATAAAAGGGGAAAAAAATCCTATGAAATAAAAAAATCATGACTTACAAAAAGTCCCCACTGAGCCATGCCCTTGAAAACCAGTGCTGACATTTTGTTAATGAGCTCAAACAACAATAAATACAATAAAACAAATAGAACAAGAATGAATGGAATATATCTTAAGAAAAGCCATGTTGTTCCTGCATGCATCAATCTGTCTGATCACGCGGTTTTCAACGTATGTAATGATTTTCTGAAAGAAGGAAAATAAAAAAGAAGAGTCGGTCGTAAACAGATGTGATGTGAGTTGTGTATCTTCGGCCTCCCTGCACCGTAAAAGCTCATGCGCTGATAACAGAACAACAGCACATAAACTCTTACTGTTCAGGGCAGAGGAGTACTTATTTTCGTCACTTTAATGCACAACAGAACCACTTGGCAAACCCTGATCCCAATCTAAATGAAATCTGACCCTTATCTAAAACATATCTGCTTTGACTGTGATGGGCATTAGCTTTTTGCCTTTGTGCAAAAAAAATAAACATCCTCATGAAGGGATCCCCAGAAAACAAGTTCAATTAAACCACATTTAATCCAATGAAATATAATTTTGAAAATAGTTTTGGAGTGGTTGCACACAACTTGTCAAAGTCAGTGTACATACAGTCGCCATGAGGATAATCACAAGTGATAGATCACCTGTGTCTATTTGTACACCCTGACCACCTCAAATCAAAATACTCTAAAGAATTTTCAGAGTTAAGTTGTTTTTGTTTTTTTACTTATCCCTACAAGAGAGCACTGAGTCACGCAGGCACCATTAGGTCCCCCGATGGCATTTTGCGTGGCTCCTTTTGCCCCTCCGGCCCTCACAGTAAAGCCTCACACCAGACAAAATTGCGCAAGAGGGTTCACATTTTTTGGGAGAGATGTGAGCCAAGCCTTGCCTCTGCTGCTTCCACCACAGTCCTCTTCCATAGTCATGATGACTAATATTTACCCCGGCATGTCAGTCAGGCACCTATAAGGACAGCCAAACCACAACTCTCCCTGCCAGGGCCCTGCACGGCCTAAAAAACAACCGACAGCGGGTGACATCACACATCAAACGGCCGCGGCCCTAACTTAAGACAGCTTTGGCCGTGTCCTAAATTCACCTTCTGGGCTTCCGATGCCAAAAGTCCACTCAAACACCAGCCTCACATCTGGGGATTTAAGCAGACACGCACAGGCTGAGGGGACCTGTCCCAAACCGCAGGCGTCCGCCAATAAAGATCCCTCGGTAGTTTAACAGGTGGAAGGTCTAGTGTTGGACCTAGAATATATCCCAGAATTGCAACCTGTTGTTGACATGTAAAAACAACCCTGGACTCCTGACCGGATGAGGACAGCAGCCGACATCAACAATCAGGTTTTGGCCCCAACGCGAGTACACAGAAAAAAACAAAACAAGCAAAACCACAAACTAGAGAAAAAACCAGAAGAATGTGAGAGTGAAAACAGTGGATAACAAATGACCAAATTGCACCCATATGGAGGAAACGAAATATGCAGAAACACACCCACATATGCGCGCACACAAACACAAACACCCGCTGACTGCTGTTGGGGCCCGGATCTCACGCAACGGAAACATTTCCGAGCTGCAGTTTCCCGCTGCCGGCTGATATCAGCTGACTTCACATGGCTTTTCTGTCCAACCGACCACTCTAAATATACTCCCGCTGTTCCCTCATTCGTTTGTCGACACACTTGGCACGTGCCAACAAACGCCCCGCTTATCTAACCAGCACCACCTCACAGCATGAGGCCGCTTTCTTCTTCTATGCAAACTACGCCGGTGGCAACAAAGCCCACTCACCCACACAAACAAACAGAGCCCCCAGAGTTATGGCTGCAGCCTCGGTGAGTCTAGACACCGGCCACATCTCTTACATCACATTATCAGGAACAGGACGTCAACAAGTCGGACGTATCTTTTAAAAGAAATCCCTAGAAGTGAGAAAATTACAATTGCAACAGTTCCACTTTGGTCTCCATCCTCCTTTTGCTGAGCTCAGAGCGCTGAAGACGGGGATGATGAAAGATAAAATAGTTTTGTGTAACTCCAAAAGTTGCGGGGCCAGGTGGTCAAAATCTCGAGCCCAAAAAACGTAAACACAGAATATCCCAGCGGCGGTGAACCCCAGTCCCAGCTGGTCAGCTAGGTTTGGGCAGACCTGGTCCATGGGATGACCAGGCTCATTGGAGTTCAAGTGCAAGTCTTATATAGACACAAACTCCACTCGGTACCTCCCCTCATCCTGTCTCCCATAACAACAAACGCTCCAAAATCAAAATAGAGCCCATCTGCACTTTGACACACCCCTTTGCCCCCCCCACCCTCACACACACACTCCACCCAGGGAAGAGGGAAAATGTGATACTTCGGTTAGAGAGAAGACTAAAATGTGCCCTCACTCTCCCGTTTGAAGGGCAGGAGGAGAGACTTTTTTTTTGTTTTTTTGGTCGGGGGGGAGGGTATCCGAGCGGGAGGATGGCTCCGCCCTCATCCCTCTGTGTCTCTCATTCCATTATTTCCCGGTTGTTGTGCAACTGGAGGGATGGATTCCTGAGAAGAGAGTCACGGCTCTGTTGTAAAACTTACTGGCAGGAGTGACCCTCTGTGTTTTTCTTTTACTGTTTCCCTCGCTCACTCTCTCCGCTCAACTCGGCCTGTTATCAAAACCATGTGTGTGAGCGCGTCTGTGCATGAGAGAGAGAGAGAGAGAGTAGCGAGGTCTTGGGGGGACACAAGGGCCACAGGGGAACGCGGGAGAGAACGAATTTGGAGGGCTACGGTGCTGAAAGAAGCCCAGATGTGAGCAGCTGTGAGAGCTGGTCGGATACTAAAACCGGTGAAAAGTAAAGATCATAACACAGACCGATTAAGAGAGCAACAGAGTTTTTTTTGTTTTGTTTTTACAAGAGGATGCTGATTTGAAACATAAGAAGCTTTACTGGGGTAGTTCATTCCAGCAGGGCAACTTAGGGCAGTCGAGGGCCTAAACGGAAAAAAATGGATTTTTGAGATACCCAGACAAACAAGTGTGTGTGTGCCATAAATGGCAGCCGCCGTGTGACCGCTGAGGTGAAGGGCCGATGACCACAGGATGCGGATACGGTTCGGGCCAAGGTAAGAGTCTGGTGGGGAGATGAAACCAAAAGGAAGGAAAAAAAAAAAAAAAGGACGGGGTAGAGAGGAAGAGAGGAGCGAGAGGGAGAAGGCACATCTGGAAACAATCGATCCAGCCCTGCCTGACATGCACATGCTGCAGCTACAAAGGAACAACATGTACTTGAACCCGGCGCGTTGGAGCCTGGGCAGAAACCTGTCCACGCAGCGCACACGTGAGCCGGCGGCGTGCACAGACCGGGTAGGTCTGAGGATCTGATCTGACGCCTAACCGAGAGCCGCATCGTACACAAAATGGCCTCAAAGCTGTGTTAAAAAAAAAAAAAATGACAGGATATTATTAAATCAAGGTTTCCACCATGGCTCTGACAGAAGATTCTTTTCATAACTTTCCAGAATGGTGGTGGAGAGCTCCCAGAACCAAAGAATGTCAGGCCTCTGCTGGTGGAACCTGTTTTTTTTTTTCTTCTAAACTACAGAGCTCTCTCCTCCCAGCTTCTCCTGAGATTACTAAAAGGGAATTTCTTATGGCGTCGTCATGGTTATGAGGCCACGCAGAAGACCTTTCTGTTCTGAAAACAGAAACTTTCTTTCTTGATCATTTAAATAAGCTTCCTCTCCATGTGAGGGTAGCCCCATATTTTAGAAAAACAGAACAGGGGAACGCTCTCAACGATCACTATTATGCTGGAAAGATGAGATGAGTGAGTATAGTGTTAAAAAACAAAACGCTTCCCAGACTCGATTTAGGAGTTTGGGTGCAGCACAGAGCCTGTGTTCTCCAGTTTAACTTTCAAACATTTAATTTTGACATCTAAGAGCATGAATGTATTCCAAAAACTTGAAAACTGTTAATTCAGAAAGACGAGTCAAAGAGGGGGTGAGAAAATGTCAGTTTGGACATTTAAAAAAATAAATAAATCGAGATCAGAAAAAAACATTAAATGTGAAGGAACTTGTCGGGGTGTTGTTCGGCCCGGAGAAGGATCAGACATAATTCTTCTGTGTGCTGCTTTCTGCTTCTCAGGACGTCAGTCAGGATCAGGGGGCTTCTTCTTTATTCTTCCAGCGATTGAAAAACTCTGACAGCCGAATCAAACCAACTGAGAAATAATGCTCAGACCGTTTTTCTGCTCCTGTCAACAAATCAACTTTCCCAACCCACACGGGCTGTTTGTAGACCTCTGTAAACTACAAATCATGTTTAACGTTCAACAAATTATAGTAAAAAAACAGTACAAAGACGAACAAGTCATCTTATCTTTATTGTTTGGTTGATGATGTTTTCCCTGAGAACAATGACATGCATCATAATGCGATGCTTCCACCACCTCTGTATCCAAGTCTGTGTCCAGAGTGGCAGCTGATGGCTATCTGGGAACTTTTTCTTGTCATTGGAACCGCTTCAGAAAGTCTTGATACGTTTGTCTGTGAGCGGACGCTGCGGGGACAAAATGGCCTCCAGGATGTATGAGGACTTGAGTGTCCTGGAAGGAGGGGAGCAGCTCCCGGCTCATGCTGTCAGGGATGACTCTGTCTTCCAGTCCGAACACATGCAGGGAGGGGATCTGGAGGGGAGCGTGGTAAAACCTCTGGTGCTCCTTGCACGCGCTGCGGAAACCGGCCACGAGAATGGCGAAGCGGAAGCCGAACTCCGGTTCCAGTTTTTGCTCCTGAAGAGAGCACAGCATAGCTACGAAAGCTGCGCCCTGGCTAAAGCCCAGCACGCCGTCAAAGGGGCCCTGGAGCCTCACGGCTTCCCTCACAGCCGCCACGCTCTGCTCCAGGCCCAGGCTCTCCTCACACTGCTGCTGAGCGCTGAAACTCTGAGCCTGGATGTCAGAGAACCACCAGCCCCGGCCCTCCTCATCCCCTCCAGGAACAGGGACGGAGTCGTTCCCTTTTTCTGGAATATCTGAGAGTGAAAGGTGTTCACTGTTATGCGAAATTCAGAGAAAGGCAACTAAGATAAAAGAAATCGTTACATCTTGTTAGGTTATTGTACGGGAAACCGGAAAGTGATTAATAAAGTAATTCTGAGGGTTCTATAAACCTCATCTCATGTTTATGGATGGATGGTATTAGAACGGTTCAAAGGAAGCACGAACCTAACAGCATTAACAGCTATTAGTAGAAATAATCAGTTAAATGACACCGTTTTATGCAGCTCCACACTTCCACTTCAAAACATGTTGGAGGGATCACTATTTGTCTTTACAACCTTTTAAAATCAGTTCAGTCAACAACAGATAACCACACAAACTAGACCATGAAGATTTTAAACTAGCAGTGTTAGAAACAGATAATGTTCTAATGTTCTCCAAAGTTTAGGTTTATAGCAGTTTCCAATCACTTAGGAGACTCTGCCTATTGTTTCATCTAACAGCAAACTATTTATTCCCCATTCTTAACATGGCACATCATCACTTCGTTTCATGACCCACCTCACACTAAATCTGAGATAATAGCAAAAAAAAGGTCAAAGTAGTCTGGTATTAAAGTTTGATCTGTGTCCTACATACTTCTGCCAACATTGAGTAAGATTTCGTTCAAATACAGTACACACAAACACACGTGTGTGTGTGTGTGTGTGTGTGCGTACAAGGCTATAGAACAAACTGTAAGCCAGACGTGGAAGGCTTCTATGTGACTCTAAATTTTCAAGCTAAAGTTTTCGGGCGGGGTGTCCTTTCGCCCACCTGTGTTCACGGTGAGCGGTGCACTCATGTAAACCAGCTCCACTTGTTTCTTCAGCAGCTTCCGCAGAGCTCCCGTCTTCTCACGGAACGAGCTTCCGCTCTGTCGGTACCCGTGAACGCACAGAACCCGGAGAGGAGCCATTACGAAGTTAGCCGGAGTTCCCTTTGCTAACAGTAACCAGCAGTTGGAGACAGGCTACATAAAAGCTGTACAGGAGAATAAAAAGTAACCACGTCTACTGGGCATTTACATACAGGAAAGACACTTCGAAAATATATCAAATTGAAATTGAGACGGTTTAGTTCCTGATTTGGTACTGTACAGCAGCTGCAGGGTTCGTAAGTTCAACCAGGAAGAGGGAAAAGTACTTCCGGTTGTCGTTTTCAAAGTAAAGCTGTAAAACTGCGCTGACAGGGGAGACGCGTGGGAAAAGACGACTAAACCTGACCAAATCCAAACAATTACACAGTACCGGCAGCGGGATAGTCAAGCAGTCAATTACATGTGTGAAATAAATGCGTGACCTTGTTGTTTCCAAGATTAAACACAAACTTGAAAAAGAATGAACAACATTAGTCAGCATATGCAAGTTCTTCAAATGAGTAAACAAAGAAAAAGTGTTGACATGGATTCAACTCATCTTACAAACGTCCAGATGTGAGCTTTAGAGCTGTATTAGCTGGGGGAAAACAGCTTTTCAGTTGTAGCTTCAACATGACCAGTCCACAAAATATGTCTTTCAGCTTCTGTTTGCTAACAGGGTCTCGCTCTCTCCTTAATATGGTAGCCTACTTCCAATGATAATGATCCTGACAATGCTGGCATGGAGGAAGAAACAACTAGAGAGTTCATGTACTATCAATAAATACTATTCATTTCCTATATCTGGATGGATGGATGGAATTTACAGACTTGATTGACAGGAGTTATTCTTAGGGAAGTCAGTCTCACCTAAATGTTTTAGTGAAGTCCACACGGGGGCAGTTGTGCACCACAGATAGTGGATGTTACACAGAGGACCTGTCAAGTCTACCAGGAGACTGTGAGTGTACTTACACACAAATCCACGGCAAGCTAAATGTGCAAAGTGATGAACAAGAGTAAGTCATATAAAAACAAAGACTTTACTTGTAAACAAATAAAAACAGCATTACTTCTGTCGGCTTTTGTTCTTTAACAACAGTAACAGAGAAGCAAATCTGCTGCACACGCTGATTGAAGCTCACAGTTTAAGCTTCAAAGCCAGTGCCTGGAAAACAAGGGGGGCCAGTCATGTTCAGTGAGGTCACTGTATCCTCTAAGTTGTGTCCTGCAGCATATGAACCGTCCCGCTGTTGTCTGCAGTGACATTATTAGAGCTGCTGTCATTCTGCCGTGCGATCCTTGAGGTCTGTCGGCACTTTAAGGAGGACACAGAGGAGTATGACGAATGTCCTGACTGTTCCTGATCCTCACTGGAGCTGGCAATATAGGGCACACACAACGTAGATAGATGATGCCGGACAGATATCCATGCTTATACAAAGTAATTATATTCAAGTGTAACCTTCTGCTCAGGGAGACGGAACTATTCTTATCAAGACAGGCACATGAGGCAGAAACACTGTGATGGGGGGGCTGTTTTGTTGTTGTACTGTTGACAGCTGACAGATGTTATCCTGAGGTAGAACAGAGGTGACAGATGAGGCTGCAGAAGTTTCAGACCTGCCATTCTCTGTAGCCGAAAATGTCAGCCACTCAGCATATCACACTGTTATCATTCTTTTGTGGGAAATGTCTCAGGCAACTTCCTGATTCAGCAAGGATTCACGCATGGGCTGGATATAAATCTCTCCTTCCCTAATCTCCTAAAGCATTTTTACCTGTCATCTGTGAGGTACCACTGTTTGAATTATGTCTGAAGAAACCTTATTTCCCAGGGTTTTGTCCAAATAAAGCTAATTTCAGCTCCTGTAGTCTGATCCACCGACTCCTATTGATGAAATCAAGCCATTCAGTTCATGGTGGGATATCCCATGTGTAACATATGATGCAGTGCTTCCCACATATGAGGCCATTATTCCAGGAATATTTCAAGGAAACACATTGTGACCACTGGTGATTTCATTTTGAAATAAAAGAAAGAGGATTTGGCTAACATCTTTCCCCATCTCGCACTTTCGTGGTCCCATCAAAATACTTGAAACTTTCCTTTAACTGTCACAGAAAAGGGGAGCAGATTGCGTTAAACAAGATCAAGCTTGATTTTGCTCTGATCTTTTCCCTCTACCAGAGTTGAAATCTAAGAGCTTATATTTCTTTTTAAGTAGCTGATTCTGACCGATTCTTGAAGGAAAGACTCTTCTCACTTCATTTCCATGGCATTGATGATTTTCTAAAATGATCATATAAAAGAAAAAGACATTGGCAAGGTAAACGTTGGCGGTGAATCTTCATGTACGTTTTTGCTCCTCTGATTCAAACTGTAAAATTGGCTCTCCTCCAAAAGCAGGTGTCGATTTATTCGAAATGTATGAGTACTTTGGACATTCAGGTGTATTTTTGACAGCTTTTTCTGCTTTGCAAAAGATTTATCAGGGTATCAACTGATCAATGGAGAAGGAAACACTTTTTTTTCCTATGCTTTTTAGTTGTGACGTATTTTTATTTTTAGTTGGCAGGTATGGTTCTTTTCGTAAAGAGATTAATTGGCCTCCAAATCAAAAGCATTTTACCTCAAATGACACTACAAAGCTATGTTCAAATTATTGAATCCCTATCCTACATATTTCTCTTAAGAGAGTACACATTTTCAAAAATATGGTAGGATTAAAATCTCTTTCAGCCATAAAGATCTGTCTTGTTTCAGAGTGCTGCCCAGTTCTTTTCTCTGCCGTCTTTCAGCTTGTTGCTCTCATTCATCACCGTTCAGATTCTCAGTCCATTAGAAGCTGCAGAACTAGAAGAACTTCAATGGGTTGCAAGTGTTCATGATGCCTTTGGCTGTGAGCTTTGATTAAAATATGGATCAAAGAGATCAAATTGATTTGAAAAAAAAGGTCAGAAGGGTGGGTGGGGGGCATAAACTGTCGCTGCACCAGAAATTATATTTTGTGATCAGACATATGGCAATTGAACACTGGAAAAGGGAAATCCTACTATTTTCTTTCCCACTGGCATTTACATCACGCGCTGCTCTGCCTTTTCATTTAACCTATCTCTGGATGGAAATATTGAGATCCACCACAACCCACACTCTGCAATGGCATCTTCAAGCATTGTGTTCATAACACATCAACAAATGCATGTTTGCTTATTTACCGAGATGCTTTACATTAGGATTTAAAGGGTTCACATGGTAAACAAACATCAGTGGAAGCAGTGGAATTAGTCCCAAAACAAAGCTCAAAGATCAAATGAATACATGCATTTGAAATTGATAATGACAATCAAAGCATATCACAAGCATATCATTTTAGATTTGACAGCACTTATACCGTATATACAGCATGCACAGTTACTACAAGCTTAAGAGAGTCTATGTAAATATGATATTTTTCCAACATTTCTGAATGTGAAGCTGAATTTCTTACCTAATCAGGTCATTTTGAGATTCCACATTTGACTGATGAAGCGCCATGAGATCAAAAGTGATTAAAGCCTGACATTACAGCACACATGCTGATAAGACAGCTTCTTTTCTTCAGGTAAAATAGACCAAAGAGTGATTTATCTTGGATAAAAAAAAGAAAAACATCAGTCTTTTAGTTTCTTGAAATGATTGAACTTTTAAAATTTACCTGCTAGAATATTAAACCTTTAGTTTGATCATTTTCACTGTGAAGTCATTTGTCTCCACCTCCAGCATTTGGATGTTTTCGGTTTTATCGTGAATAAAGTAAATCATAATAAAGTGAATCTATCTATCTATCTATCTATCTATCTATCTATCTATCTATCTATC